TGTTTGTTTTTTAACATTTTCACCACCAGACTTGCTTGCCCAAATTTTTGATATTTTCTTCAATATTCCTAGAAATGAACCCTAATTTTGAAGCCAACAGACAAAATCTGAGAATATTTTCAGTTTTTGCTCAAAAAATTTGACATTTTTTATTCCAATGTTCTAAAGGAAAGTGCAGACTATAAAACAGGACTATTTTGTGAATTTGTGATGAAAAGAGGGAACTGGGGGTGAAAAGGTTAAAGGGTATACAGTGTATATTTGGAAATTTTCAGAGTGAAATCATCCACATACTGTAAAATGACTAATTTTCACTGAGTTTAAATTTCACTGATTTACCATTTCAGGCATATTCAGTTGGTTTTAAATTCACGGTTTTATCATTTAGATAATGTGTTCTATGCTAAATTTTACATATTCACTGGGTTTTAATTTAGCGCATTTTTCCAGTCAGCAAAATAAGCAAAATTAAAACCCAGTGAATAATTACCCCCTTTACAGTATAAAGAAAATGTTGTATTGAATAGGCAGAATGTCAAAGAGACAAGTTTCAAATTATCCTTGGGGACGGAGCTAACGTCACAAGACGTTCCACTCTGAGCGAGCTGCTGTGGAACGTCGGTCGAAGGGCCAGTGAAAATAGCTAAATTTGTAAAAAAAAACACAAACTCATCGTTGAAGTAATCCTGAACAACCAATTTTATATATTGCATACGCAGGTACAATCTTGTTACACTGTTCAGGGGAGTCTCAACAACCATCCAAAAGTACCGTTTTCTGAGAGTTTTCGACCTTTGTTTTCACCGTGATGGTTTCCAAGCGATGAAAATGCCTGGATGTCCGCCCCCAACATAGTGCCATCAGTCAGTTTCCATACAAAAATGGGGGGGGGGGGGGCTATTGAACATTTACACAGCTATTTTTTGTTATAAGCACACTTTCAACCAAAAATGTGAAACCAAGTTTCAGTTTAAATGTATTCTCACCTAACTTGTTGATATCTTTAAATTCCAATTCTTTTGCCACAGCTTTTTTTCTTGTTCTGAATAATGTTTTGATTGTTGTAAAAAGTGAATGTTCTGTTTCAGCATCTACAAAACAATCAAGATTACACATTTTATTTTATAG